ACCTGAAGACCTGAAGACCTGAAGACCTGCAGTCCTGAAGACCTGAAGACCTGCAGACCTGCAGACCTGCAGTCCTAAAGACCTGCAGACCTAAAGACCTGCAGTCCTAAAGACCTGCAGACTTAAAGACCTGCAGACCTGCAGACCTAAAGACCTGCAGACCAGCAGACCTGCAGACCTGCAGTCCTAAAGACCTGCAGACCTACAGACCTGCAGACCTGCAGTCCTAAAGACCTGCAGACCTGCAGACCTGCAGTCCTAAAGACCTAAAGACCTGCAGTCCTAAAGACCTGCAGTCCTAAAGACCTGCAGACCTAAAGACCTGCAGACCTGAAGACCTGCAGACCTGCAGACCTAAAGACCTAAAGACCTAAAGACCTGCAGTCCTAAAGACCTGCAGTCCTAAAGACCTGCAGACCTAAAGACCTGCAGTCCTAAAGACCTGCAGACCAACAGACCTGCAGACCTGAAGACCTGCAGACCAACAGACCTGCAGACCTGAAGACCTGCAGACCTGAAGACCTGCAGACCTGAAGACCTGCAGACCAACAGACCTGCAGACCTGAAGACCTGCAGACCTGAAGATCAACAGACCTGCAGACCTGCAGACCAACAGACCTGCAGACCTGAAGACCAACAGACCTGCAGACCAACAGACCAACAGACCTGCAGACCTGAAGACCTGCAGACCTGKAGACCTGAAGACCTGKAGACCTGCAGACCTGAAGACCAACAGACAGGTCTGATTCCAGCTCTGATCAGTTTCTACATCCAGTGTAAAACAATAATGAAATAATTTATATTCTGTGCTCTGCTGTCCCACCAGCCTGCAGCCAAATGTGTTCCAGCGTGGTCCAGATGTAGGCGGGGCCTTGGCGGCGGGTAGAGCTGACGTCTGACACCTCTGACAGCGCCGCCTCCAGGCGCGACGCTGCCACTGAGGGAGGGGTGAGGGAACCTGGGGGTGATAGAGAAGAACATCTTCCAGCTGAGGAACAAAGTGAGTCTGTGATGTAAATAAAACATGATCCCATCAATGGTCTAAAACCATTCTGCAGTCTGAACAGGTTCTGCTGGGATCAGAAGACTGGAGGACCAGACCTGTGGATGCATCCTGGAAGTCAGGCAGGTTCAGGTGGATGGAGGGTTTCCTGACTGATGGGCTGCTGTCTGACTTTTCTGCCACAGGTAAACTGCTGCTGTCATCTGTTTCACTGCAACACAGGTTAGCTTAGGATTAGCTTAGATTATAGTTAGCTGATGGTTAGTTTAAGTTATGGTTTGTTTGCTGTTGGTTTAAAGATTTTTTGGTTAGGGTTAGGTTAGGGTTAGGGTCAGGTAGGTACCTGTGAGGTTAGGTTAGGGTTGGTGGTCAGGGTTAGGCTGTAGAAATGTAATGGAAGTCAATGGAATGTCCCCATATGTATAGGTAGACATATGTGTGTGTGTGTGTGGGTGTGAACATGCTTGTTTTCTCCATAGGAATGTTTAATAGTGACTGTGGAGACCCACAGATCTGACCCCTAAGGCCTGAGCCAGACATGAGGGAGACCAGAGCCAAAGGCACCAAGAGGGACCCCAAGCACAAAGCCCCCAGCGGTGCCACCGCAGGAACAACTGCACAACCCTTCAGTCCAGGGTGGAGAGCAGCAGACAGCCAAACCTCCACAGCAGCAGAGTCACTCATCAGTCTGGACGAGGGCCGGACATCCCCCTGAACAACTGCTGGACCCAGTGGGCCTGTCCGTTCCCCCCGAGACCCATGGAGGGAGGGAGGGTCCGATATATCTGCCCCAGGACAGATGGCTGTAGCACCACCAGGCTCCAAGGAGCCCAAGTCATGGACAGGCATAGATAGAGGTAGTTTACAGTTAGTTTAATTAATTTACAGTTAGTTTACAGTTAGTTTACAGTTATTCTGGTTGGTTTACAGTTCACAGATTTTGTGTAAGTTACGGTTATATTTTGGTTAAGATATGGCTAGTTCATAGTTAGTTTAGTTAGTTTACAGTTAGTTTAGTTAATTTACAGTTAGTTTACAATTTGTCTATGGTTGGTTTACAGTTAGTTTACAGTTGGTTTACAGTTGGTTTACAGTTAGTTTACAGTTGGTTTACAGTTGGTTTACAGTTAGTTTACAGTTAGTTTACTGTTAGTTTACAGTTAGTTTAGTTAATTTACCATTAGTTTACAGTTATTCTGGTTAGTTTACAGTTAGTTCAGTTAATTTACAGTTAGTTTACAATTGGTCTATGGTTGGATTACAGTTGGTTTACAGTTAGTTTACAGTTAGTTTACAGTTAGTTTACAATTAGTCTATGGTTGGTTTACAGTTAGTTTACAGTTGGTTTACAGTTGGTTTACAGTTAGTTTACAGTTGGTTTACAGTTGGTTTACAGTTAGTTTACAGTTATTCTGGTTGGTTTACAGTTAGTTTAGTTAATTTACAGTTAGTTTACAGTTATTCTGGTTGGTTTACAGTTAGTTTAGTTAATTTACAGTTAGTTTACAGTTATTCTGGTTGGTTTACAGTTAGTTTAGTTAATTTACAGTTAGTTTACAGTTATTCTGGTTGGTTTACAGTTAGTTTAGTTAATTTACAGTTAGTTTACAGTTATTCTGGTTGGTTTACAGTTAGTTTAGTTAATTTACAGTTAGTTTACAGTTATTCTGGTTGGTTTACAGTTAGTTTAGTTAATTTACAGTTAGTTTACAGTTATTCTGGTTGGTTTACAGTTAGTTTAGTTAATTTACAGTTAGTTTACAGTTATTCTGGTTGGTTTACAGTTAGTTTAGTTAATTTACAGTTAGTTTACAGTTATTCTGGTTGGTTTACAGTTA